AGCGATAATTGTGGAGAAACGAGAGAGAGAGAGAAGGCAGAGGAGAGGACGAGAGAGGAGAGGGAAGAGATTAAGGACGAAATGAAGGAAAGAGGGAGAGGGAGGCGAGAGGGATAAAGAAGAACAACTGGAGAGAGAAACGAGAAGGAAGAGATAAGGACTAAATGAAAGAAAGAGGTGAGAGGGAGGGAGAGGCATAAAGGAAACAAGAGACAAGGAGAGAGAGAAGAGACGAGAAGAGAGAGAGAGAGAGATGGAGAGCGTGTGCGCCAGGGGCACATTTTCTCCACCTCAGTGACACGATGGTTTGCTTGCAGTGACCTGACAGCTGAAGGATGCACCTGCAGGAACAGATGGCAGTCATCAACACCACGCTCTCGTCAAGTGGGTGATGGGTTGGTGAGCCATCACCTTGACATCAGGCGTGGCTAAGGGATGCAGTCAACCTTCAAGTTCACGGTAAACTAAGGCTGAGAGGGTCTATGCTCCCCCGGGTACTGCCGGAACGTTACCTTGGTACTTATCTAATATGCTGAACCGTATCCTCGGCCTACTCACTAACGGTTCATAGGGAGTCCGCCTCGCCTACTCCCTAAGCCGAACCCGAACCTAACCCTCAATCCTAACCCGTAACCATATCAAATAGTAGACCAGGCGTACGTTCCGCAGTACCTGGAGGATCATAACCTATGAGCTAAACTAGCTAGACAAGTAAAACAGTTAGACGGTAATCAAGACAGGCTAAACTTAATAATGAATACTGTCCCAGCTTTGCGCATTGGAGATCGAGTTATTGTTCAGGGGTCTTCGTGAAATTGATTGTGTTGAATTCAGGGATCGAGTCAAGATATTTCATGCAATCGCTCGATTTCAACTGTTCTATCACCGTTTCCATTTTTATTAGGGCGTAAAAAAAAATGCAGGAAATCCTTGAATTTTAGATTACGTTTTTCATAGTTTTGATTAGGTTGTGCTATTAGTCAATCCTGCTACGAATAAATATAAAATAAACAAAAAAAAAAGGAAGAGAAAAATTATATAAAAAAAAAAAAAATTATTGCTTGTTTAGCATTTATATTAATATATGAATTGATATTCCGACCTGAAATATGTGCGAGCCGATTATGAACGCAATATTGGCCTGGTGTTGCAAGCATAAAATGTCCTCCATTTGCCTTAAATTAATGCCACATGCTGACAGAATAAGCTGGCCTGAAAAGTGTAGGTTATTGAATTCCCCCAAGATACTAACCTGATATGCTAACTCCAGTTTTTGACACTATAGTGGCGCCCTCGTGTGCGACGTATCGAATCGTTGCCTGGTGCACGCGATCAGTAATTTCACACGAAGAGGCGATATTTTTTCCAAGCCGAAAAAAAGTGGTCTGCTATCGAATATAATAGGGCTTGTGCAAAATCGAAGTTTTTTCGCTCAGTTGATTTGAAGGGCACGTCAAACAATGAGACTCATTAGATGTGACGTGATATAGAGCTTCCTTGCAGCCATCCCGGTCACGACGAAGGGACGTGATGAGAAATGTGTCATGATGCTGCAGTGGAATAGGCTGCCAGCTAGGGTCAGACTGCATGGGCTTTCTTGATTACTCGCTTCACTTAATGATTTTAAATGATTATAAATTACTGGTAAGCTTGGTGCTGAGATGTACCAGTCTCCTACTGTGACAGTGACACTGCTAGCGATTAACAGCCTCTGTGACCAGAGAAAAAGATGCCCAAATAAGCGAGACATTTAATTAAAGATAACAATTATAATAAATTTGAATTAATAATTTTTAATTTGAGAAGCTTTTGTTTTGATTCCACAGCAGCATCTGGTCTGACCATACCACACATTCTTATAAACTCCTCCAAGTCACCTTGATCTCTGAATTCACATGTTTATGCCCCACCGCTGCCGCATTTACCTGATTGACGAGATCCAACTATATCACCTGTCTAACAGCAGCGTATGCACAGTCACTCGCACTGCCAGCCGGCCACCTGTCACTGTGCCTGACCTCACTCATTCGGTCACCGGGGTGTCCTGGGCGTAGTGCATGTGGGAGGTAAGGTGGGTAGTGCCCCCCCCCCAGCAGAAATGTATTACTACAATGGTCATGGCGGTTCACCTTCCACAGGGACACCAAATCAAACCGGGGAAGTGGTTTTGTCCCAACCCCCCAAGCAGAATGTGAGTTGGGGTCTTCGCTCTTGGTGTCGTTCCGCCTTTGTCATTGGTCAACGGTTCCTCGACTCTGCCAGATGATCACTACGAGATTGTACCCAAGGTCTGAAGACTCAATGCATGTTGACAGAGGCAGGATGCGCGGGACATTTTAGGGCATCGGTAGAAGAAGCGGTGCTCAGATGGAGAACCATCAACATGCGCTAGAGGTGTGTAGTGCTGTGCCAACGTAGAATAGATAAAATATAGAATTACGATTACAGCTATACGTATATATCAGCGTTTGTGTATTTTTTTAGACTCTTATGAATTTGTCAGTTTTAATTGCGCGCTTTTTCTGTTAAACTGCAGTACGATTCGGTCACTTAATTGTACAGCTCAGCATAATGCCTGCTTTATGATATAGGTATCTTAATACAGCTACGTGGGGCTGCTTCGGTTGATTTTTTTGGTGGAATCTGGGTAGAAGGAAATCTAGAGAGTCTAAATACGGAATGCTCACGCATTTACTTTTCAATGAAGTAAATGCGATAATTGCACTGATGTCGTGACATGCCCTTACATTGATATGTGAATGCTTACATGATACCTGCTGAATGTTACATGATATGTGAATGACTTCCCACTGATATGTGAATGATGACTGACTTATGTGACACTGACTACTACATAATATATTGATTTTTTTCACGCATGATATGGAGATGATTACATGATGTGTGATGATTACGGGTGGGGTCTATGTGATAATGTGAATATTACTATATGTTCGACATGATACATGATGTCGTGAATGATTACGCATGATGTGTTATTTATTTACATGATATGTGGACCTGATTTTATATTATTTTTATATATGTATACATGATAATACCATGATCACCTACATCGCCATGACATGGTAGTTGTGATGTGCATGGACGATTGATGTGTGGAATAATATGCCGATTTACACCCCAACTATGGGACGACATAAATCGTCATGTAACAGGTTGTTTCAACAACAGCCAAATATTAACTCTTACCTGATTTTAACTTTATTAAGTCTAAAACGTTCCTACTGCTGTAAAAATCTTTGTTCACCAGTCAGTTAGGAGAATTTCCGTGCTATTAAAAATGTGTTTTTGCCGTATGCTTACCAATGTAGCACAAGCCTGGTGTCTATAATATACAGCTGATACCCGTGTAACTCCCCCCTCCCTGTTTAGCCCTCCATCCCTGCTACAGCGCCTTCCATAACGCATTCTCCCTTAGCAGTATTTTATAATGGTTAGAGTTCCTACTCTTTTTGAGGTTGTAGGAATTTAAAACACAATTTCACAATTAAAAAAAATTTTTTGGATGTGTCATGTCGATTCTGTCTACTCTCTAGTTTTATTTCATTAAGTTCACGTGTATTCAGTGGTCCCGCTCTGATCATCCTATTGCAGTACCTATTACATATCGCTAATTCAACAGAGTTCAGATCCAAGGGTGCTGGCCTGGAAATGAGTTCTTTCCTGCATGCATGCTACTCTATTTGCCCCCTGCCCTCGCTGTGTACTAAGCAAGCTTACACAGCCTCAATGATTAATGAGCGTAGCCGGTGGTATTGGGTTAATAGCCACATACGTTGATTATCGCCCTTCCGTGTTGAACTAAAATAACCAACTCGCCTGTATTTTCAAAAATGTTAATTCGCAGTTTACTTTTTTTTGGCCCAGGCGTTTGGAGCCGATTCAGAACTGATTTAATATGTTTTTCAAGCCTTGAACACGACACTAATTTGTGCGGAAATGGATCGTCAACTCGACAGTGAGAACAATTTAAAGCTTCGTGATTCCAAAT